AATGCAAAATACCCCCAAGTTTTTTTTATAATACCCAATCCATTTTCGTTCGACAGTGGCATGATTGGCAAATGTTATAAAAAATGTGGGTTTTGACAGCTCTCTCTCGATTCAAAGAGTCTCGCATCATTTCATCCTTGATGATGCGAGACTGTCTCATTTTCGCTGATTTTTCTGTTATTCTCTTTCCCTGATTATTAAAATCAGGGAATTTCGAACAGCTGATGTTAAAAAAGGCGGGATGCCAGAAATAAACCCACTAAAAATAGCTAACAAAAGCAGTGCGAAACGAAATTTCAAGGAACGACACAAATACTTTTGAATAACGTGCAACTAAATTTTATTTGTTAATTTAATTTAAAACGTTCATTATAAAACCATGATCTTTTATTATGACTTGTATTGTTTCTTTGTTATAATTTTTTTTATTTATATGCTATTTTTTTATGTTATATGATTTTTTAAAAATTTTATTATGTAAATACAAGTATATAGGGATGTATATGCGTTATATAGGCCTCTCGGGGACGGAGCACCTAAAAATAATATCGAAATGCAAAATACCCACAAGTTTTTTTTATAATACCCAATCCATTTTCGTTCGACAATAATCTTGAATATATTTGAAATATTCTTAAAATAACTCAAAATCACAGTCGAATACATTGATATATAAATAGGTAAACTATTTTTAATAGTTGGATTTTAGTTTTGAGCTTTTACATTATGAAAAATTATAGCTAAGAAACTAAATGTGTGAAAAATCGTGTATACAAATAGAACAATGGCAACATCGGTGAAATGAAAAAAAAGAGAACAATTGATTTCGGCGTTGCAACTATGGGCATAACTTTTGACAAATTTGCTTAAATACGGGCTGTAAGTAAGAAAGGCTGAAATGTCGGTGACTGTTTTGGCACTAACACGATCAAGAACTTGCTTTCAAGTTGATCAATTAACCTACTAGTCAAAATTGATTAAAATGGACAGCCGTGGCGTAGGCTGCAAGCAACTTGATAATCAATAATAGTTTCAAAATGCCGTCGTCATGGAAATCAATTAAAATTCTTGAAAGTTTTGCACGAAATTAAGAATATAATGAAAAAATGTAATGGGAAGAAAGAGATCAGTTGAGAAAGGAAATCTCATTGTACAAAACAACTATTGAGTATATTCAAAATCCAGATTTTTACATTTTTCAACGTTACTTGTTTTACACTATAAACTATTCGAGAGACACATATTCCCGACAATTGCATGGTATTTGTTTGCAAAACTATGTGATCTGCTGTTTAACTTGATCGTCTACTTGCCCCATGACTTGAAGGGAAAAACTTATATTGTGGCCAACACGAATGCCAGAACAAAATAGAATTGACGATAAACTGCTAGAACCAACTAGATAGCGAAATTCGTAGTTGCCAGAATTTCCGAGTGGTGATGTTTTGTTAACAATCTACTATGAAGGGGCTGCCGGATGGTGTAGCAGACACAGTTCTAATTAGAGTGATGTCGTGTTAAGATCAATTGAGATATAAGTTAGACGTTGTAAGCTTGGATTATGAGTTATAAAGCGTTACGATAAGTGTATAGCCATTGAATTGGGACTTTTCTTTAACAATCCAGTGATCGAACTCGAGATTGAGTTACAAGGTAAAGAGGACTGACGAGTTTTGCTTTGACATTGCCCCATTGAATTTGCCCCTTTTTCTATTTGTTGATTAATATTTTTCTTTGAAGTGTAAATTTTTAGCTTATCTTTTTTTAAATAAATGCTAATCAAATGAACTAATAAAAAACAAGTAAGGAAGGGCTAAGTTCGGATGTAACCGAACATTTTATACTCTCGCAAAGTCAAATGGTATACTCGTTTGAGATTTCTTTGTGGATTGACTGATATTTTCGGTAGAAGGTCAACTATAGGCAATGGGGTCCATATATTTAGTACTTAGGGGTTTAAACAGTTTTGGTTCGATTTAGACAATTTTTGGCCGCAAGGTGGCATACTTTAATTGCATTATTCACGCAAACTTTTACCCCGATATAATCATTGTTACCTGAAAGTGAAAGAAAGAACTGTGGAAAGTGAAAGAATCAGATGGAATTGAAAATGGTGTTACATGGGAAGTAAGCGTGGTTGTAGTCCGATTTCGCCCATTTTCGCACTATGACATAGAAACATGAAAAGAACATTATGCACCGAATTTGGTTGAAATCGGTTGAGCAGATCTCAAGATATGGGTTTTCACCTAAAAGTGGGATGTGCCACGTCCACTGACAAATTTTGAACGCGGTTCCTATAAAGCCAATTTATACCATCTCAGAGATAAAATTTAATGTCTCTGGCGTGTTTAGTGCTTGATTTATCGCGCTTTTAGTAGTTTTTAACAGTACCGTTATATGGGGAGTGGGCGGAGTTGCCACCCGATTTCAACTATTTTCACACCGTCAATAGAAGTGCTAAAAACATTTGCTTCTAGTGAATTTTGTTATTATAGCATTAGAGGTTTAGGAGATATGCACATTAAACCTATTAGAGGCGGGACCACGCCCACTTAAAAAAAAAAGGTTTTAAGTGCAGATGCCCCTCCCTAATGTGATCCTGTGTGCCAACGGACGAGCGCTACCTTGTGCGGAAATCTTAGGCAAACCCATTTTTGAGTGTGCCAATATTAGATGCAAACACTGGAAATGCACTGGAAAAACAGTACACGCTCTATCGGGAAAATTTATATGGCAGGAGATGACGAGTTGCGCCAATCATAAACAATCAAAATAAAAAGGTGCGTCCGGAATTTTTTAAAATGCATCATTCTAAAGATTTTTAGTTCTGGAAACAAGTGATGTTTTCTGACGAGAGCAAATTCAATATATGTATTTGGGTCCTCCGGTTAGCCTTATGTGAAACAGCGCGGCGATGGTGTCATTGTTTTGGGATCCTTTTCGCCGGTTGGACCTGAAACCCTTTATTTTATTGAAAGGATTACGGATTCGAAGATGTTTTTAGGTATTTTGTAGCTAAATGTACCCTCGAAAAATCGAAAAGTTGCGGTTGGGCGAAGATTGGTTCTTTTATTAGATCAACGACCCCAAGAATCAGGCTTACAACATACAGGCCTAGTTAATATATAACACTCCAAATATTTTGGAAACACTAGCACAGAGTCCTGATATAAATTAGTTTAGTTATCTTGACACAAAAGTTCGCAACCACAGCGTTTCTAATAAGGAAGACTTGAAAAGAGTATTATCACTGGAAGAGTGGGGAAAATTCAGCTCAGTTATTGTGAAAACTTCATAAAAAGCATGCCTAATAGGCTAGAAGAGGTAATTAAGATTAAACGTACTATATAAAATTAAAATACTAAACAAGTTTAAAATGTAAGAGTTTGGCTTTGACATTAAATATGGGTAAATTTTAGAATAGCATCCATCGAATTCGAGGTTAAAATTGGTATTTGCGGATAGAAGCGGTTCTCCAGATTAGGAAAATATATACATTTAGTTGCCGCTAACTTATGGTTTTTGAGATATGTATTTGTATTTTAAGTTCAAAGATTAAATTATTAAAAGTGCGTATTTCTTTGATTTATAATGAAATTTACAAATATATTTTTAACTTTTCTATCCATTAACACTTTGCTAATTTGTTTCTACGTATTTATTTTATATTAAATAGCGCAAAAATAACTTAAATTCAATATTTAACTTTTGTTCAATTCTTTTTATTCACACAATTATAAAAGGGTTGCATTCTAGCATATAATTAGTGTTACCTTATCTACATATTTTACAAACGAGCCAAAAGGAATAATGTAAACAGATAATACTCTAATGACAATATCTTTCTGCATTAGCTTATTTCGGCCGCGCTTAAAAAAGAACTACTCTGTCGGTCCAACACCGCAGGTCTTTGGTTCCCTCGCGTAGAACTCCTGGTCGATTCAACGCCGGGATTTACCAAGAGGAAGCAAATTCTAAAAGATTTGGTGTTACTCATCACACGATTAAGAATTTTATTTGTTTATATTTGTTTGCATAGCATAGTATCACTTATTTTTTGTTTATTTAACTTTTCGATATTATTCTTAGGTTCTCGGTTCCCGGTGTCTATAACCTGCATATACAACTTATAACAAAGAAGCAATAAACTCAAAATAATATGTCATAACTTGAGAAACGTTTTAAATACAAATATTTTTCATTTTAAAGAATGAATATTGGAATTTAATATTAAATGTGTGGTCTACTGAAATTTCGTTTCTCTCTGATTTTGTCAATTATTTTTAGCTTTTTTATTTCTGATCTCAGTTGTTCAACATTCCCTGATCCCCATCGTTACCAATCTGGGAACGCGTTTGAGAGAAAAATGAGAGAGTCTCTTATCATGTCAGCTTTGCCGATACCGTTATTGATGTGCTTATTTTCAAATGTTATGAAATATCATATGCTTTCTCTTACTACATAAGATCTTGTAATTAGTCATAGAATTTCAGCACTTCACTCTATTAATTTTTTATATCCTGAACAGGGTATATGAAGTTTGTAACACCCAGAAGGAAATGTCGGAGACCCTATAAAATTTATATATAAGTGATCATCGTGACGAGCTCAGTCGATTTAGCCATGCCCATCTGTTTTCCTGTATATACGCGAACCAGTCTCAGTTTTTGAGATATCGATCTGAAATTTTGCACACGTCCTTTTCTCCCTAAGAAGCTGCTCATTTGTCGGAACCTCCGATATCAAACTGAATTATCAAAATTTAGTTCTTGTAGGAAAAACTGGTTTATTAGAAAAGATATATATCTTCATGAAATTTGCTAGTACTAAAGTTCAAGAGAACGGTACAATCTTCGAACAAATTATTCAGATCGAACTTTTATAGCCAACATACAAACTGCCCGATCTCTTTCATTTGGAAGGGTTTTATAACTTCGGTAACGTTTGTCTTGTTTGTTTTTTAAATAGCTGATATATGTATAATACATCATCTAAAATAAAACCAAATAATAAATAAATATAAAAACATAGTCAACTTTTCTTCTGGAAAAACGTGTTTTCTTTTATTATCTAAATTTTTACAATGCCTCTCGTATGTATGTACATACATACTTACATATATATGTACTAACGGAAGGAACTAATAATTCAAAGGCTCTACGCTGCTAAGCATCATATGCGCAACATATTTACAATCTCGTGGAAATTCGATCAGGTAAATTCCCTAACACGCGAAACCGTAGGGTACTCAGGTAAATATATTTTGCTGGCAAGATGTCAATTGGTCTCTGGCAAATATTAATAAATACGCAGCCAAGAGGCACTAGTCCTTTTAGTCATGAATCTATCATCAAGTTGACATCGTTACCGCAAAAAATAAAGTTATCTTTTGAGATATTATAACTATATATTGTTGTAAAGTAAGACGAAAATGCATAAAGAAATTACGTTTCTAATATTAATAGTATAGTATATAATAAATAAAAGTAATATATGACTGTATCAATTACATTTTAAATGAGGAAACTGTATATGCACATAAAATGACATTCATTCTCAGCGCCATCTAGCGCATAAATCAGAACGTCAAACTCAAATTGTAGCGTCATTTACTCTAATTAGGCAGCACTGTTGAAGTGACATTTAATTTAAAAGAAAAAAGTTCTTCAATTTAAACGCTTGTTATGGAAGACGATTTTCAAATCGAATTCATGTCGCTGCCACTTGAAGATCTTCAGGATCATTATGGAAAATTGTTTGAGCGCTATAGGCATATGCGCGATGATGCGGAGGCGGACACACAGCGTATCCATGAGTTGAAACGTAATCTGGAGACCGCCTATGCTGCAGAAAATTATCTCTCGCAGGAAATCGAGGAGCTAATGCGAACGCTTGCGTCGATTGAAAAGGAAAACAAAGGCAAAACAAAAGTGCAAACAGAGTTGGAAGATTTGCGTAGACAACATCACATTTTATCTACAGACTACTCCACATTGCAGCAGGACTACGCGGCGTTGAGTGCTGAAAATGCCGAAATGCGTAAACAGTTAGAAACGGTAAAATCAGCAAAAAGGTTGAGTACGTCGTCAATAGTAGATGCTGGAACAGAAGAGCTTACCAATCGTATAGCATCACTGGAAGGAGAAAATTTTGCGTTGATGCAAAAATTGGAAGAGTTTCAAGAAAGTATGGTGCGGCAAACAATGGCATTGGCGGAAAGAGAGGTAACCAATCAGTAAAATTTGAAAAATAGATAAAGTTTTATTGGTGTATATTTTTCAAAGAGTAATATTGAAGTTTTACGAGATCAAGTAACATGCCTGGAGGAAAATTTGCGTTCAAAACGTGAAGATCTAGATGAAAAGATAGTTTTGCTTGAAAGTACCCAAGAACATTTAGCAGAAGCTAATGCGAGATTGGCGATGTTAGAAACAAAGCCAGAGAGTGTTGGTAATTACATTTACTTTATTGTTTTAATCGTGATTTGGGCATATTTTAAAATTGCTTTCAGATCGCAAAGGCAATTCGCTCTTCGCTGAAGTGGACGATCAAAGGCAAGCAATGAAAAAACTGCTAGCTGTCCAAAAGAAAAGCTACATAGATATGAAAAAAATATGTCATGACAGTCAGTCAGAAATAAGGCGATTGAAGCGCGAAAATATTGCAATGCACACAGAGCTTAAGGAGTGTAGTTCAATTTTTTGTGCAGCTGATCGTACATATCAAGGTACTTAATATGAGTTACTGAAATATTATAAAATTTGGCATAATTAAACATCATCATTTACAGACAAACTAAATGAACGCATTCGCCAACTACTCGGTCAAGTGGAAGGCTTAGAGAAGCAATTAAATGTGTCTCAGAATCGACTACGTGACCTGGCCAACGATAAGGGTGTTACGTGGCTTGATTCGATGCTGAGTTTCTGCAAGTACGCATTACCTGTAAAAGTTGTAAATTATGTAACTCGTTTCGCTACTGAGGCGTTGAAGATGTTTCGGTATAGTCGCGCCTTTTGTATAGTCCAAATGGGAATAACAATTAATTAGATAGCTAGCTCAAATTAAATTTCGCCATCATTTAATATGAAAACGCGTTTGTAAATGTAGGCTAATTTTTATGCTAAGAACACACTTTAATTAACTTTACGGTACAGTTAAGGATTATGTGTGTTTCACACAAATATTTTTACTCCTAACTTATTTAGACAAGAAACTGATGAACTCAAGAGACAACTTCATAGTGTGCAAATACAAAAAGCCAGTGTAGAAGAGCAGCTACGCAACGTTCAACAGGAGATGACAAGGTATTTCAATACAAATTATTAACTATATAATAGAAAGATGTTTTTTTTTTCAGATGGCGCTTCGAAGCATTAAAAACGCGTTGTGTACTGCTCGACAGAGAGGATCTTTTGACTGAGCACGGAGTTAAGTTCAAATCTATTCGTGCAATAGAGTTTAATATTGCCCAGAAAGAACAGGAGACTGCACGACCTCGTATTGTGCACGCATCACCTGCCATGCTAAAGGAAAGGGAACCACAAATACTTTGCACATCATTAGGAGGCTTTAAGAATGGGAATACATCAGCAATATGCAAGACAATCTCTGGAAATATATCAGCGAAAGAAGAACCCGATGATCAAAGTGACGACAAGACACCAACATCCTTAAAATCAAATGTCGAGTGTAAAGAAAACATTGGTACACCACAAACACAGCAGGAATCAACTACTTCAATAAAGACAGAACTTAGTTCTGATAAATATTTGCAAGAGAGCAATATTAACAGCAATTCTTTAGCAAACGAATTGCAGATGGTACTACCAAAGCAAAATAAAAGAAAACCCCCTGGATTGGACGCTCAACCGGGCCCTTCTATTCTATCTCAAAAAAGATATGCATTCCCCACTGAAGATTATTGCGAGAAGAATGTGCAGTTTCGTGCAGAGGGTCCTACTGTACATGACATTAGTGCAAATGTCAGTATTGTTTCAGAAAACACTAATGGCAGTATTAGTAAAGAAGGGCAACAGAAAGCCTTTATTAAGGAGGTGCGCAAGAAACCAAACATTATTGTTCGTCATGTGTTTGTGCCGTCGAAACGTAAACAAACGTAAAAAAGTTGTGTACTTTTACAGCTACTTATGTCAAGGAAAATGACCTAGGTGCATAAAGCAATTGGCTTGAGAACGAAAGTAACCTGAATTGTAGGACCTAACAACTTATTTGCTCCTGCTGGTTTGGTAATCGAATCTGTAAATAAGTATTTTGCAGTGCGTGAACTTTCCCCCCCTTTACATTTCTTGATCATTATAGCGATTCTCAAAACTTTGTGTAACTAGTTGAGAAATTATATGCATATACATATTGTCATTCCAGTATTTTACTGTAATTTGTAGCTTTTATCTTTTTGAAAATAAAAAAAATTTAGATAATACACTTGCTTTTTTTTTAAATGTACAGATCTAAAAGATTAAAAATTTTCAAGTAAGTGATGGAGGTGAAAATTTTCTAAAATTACATTTCTGAGATGTATGCCAAATATTAAGGTAGTTATTTTATGCTTTTACAATTTGTGCTTATACATTATATAAATAAAAGTCTAACAATTTATATCTAGTATTAAGTTAATAATTTGAAAATTATCAAGATTCTGTTGATTCTAATTCTTGTTGCGATGTAGGTTCTGCACTGTATTTCTTAAACTGATTACAAGAGGGCGCTTGTGTAGGAGGAATTCTTCCGCTGCATTTGCGCTAAAAGGCTTCATTCTAACTCCACCTTGGTAAGGCGCAATACACGCAATGGAGGGAGCCATGTTGTTGTTGTTGTTGTTGTAACGATTATCTAATCCCCGTTTGGGTGATAAATTCTAGATTCGTTGTCGTCGAGGTCATCTAACGGAAGGCCCAGGAAACGAGCTGTTTCGACGGGGTCGGACCATAGGGAGAGGGGTGTTAGATGAGTGGGGTTTGTTGGGCATGCAAAGAGGTGGTTAGTGTCATGCGGAGACTCATTGCATGCAGGACATGTGTTTGGTATGTCAGGGTCTATTCTGGATAGGTAGGAGTTGGATGGAGCCATCTTTAGATCTGCTCAGGGCTTATGAACCTCTCAGGCCTTAAGACCCATAGGGAGTGTACCACGAGTTACGTGACCCCATGTTGCCAATGCACTACTGCGACACATGCCTCAACGGCTGTACAATCTGCACCTTGTTCGCGCACTCCAGTCGAGTGGCCAAGAAAGGATCTCCACGGCCCTAAGAAGCTCACACAGGCAACAAGACTCTCAATATGACCAATTACCCCAATCCTTCATCCTGCTCCAATCCTCGTGAGAGAACCACTCAGCAAGTCCTGGTTCCTCGCACAAACTGTTCCGTGTGTCAGACCGTCATACGCCGGAACGTCGCATCAGCCAAGTGCATTTCTTGTACTAGCTGGTGTCACTTTCCGTATTCCGGCCTGCGCATACATCTATCTCGATTGGGTTTAAGTGATAATCGTTAGGTGAATAAAACAAATATACTTTGCAGCATCATATTGCAAGAGTATAAAAATAAGAAGCGGACGTATTTCCAATCTAGTTTTTCATTCGAATTAAATTTAAAGTGCGGAAGAGTTCCCATATAGTGGCGTCGCCAAACTACACCATAGTGCGACAGCCGCCCATGCGGATATTACAACTGCAACAACCACCACCCACACGTACCTCCCTCACCCCCAGGATTCTACTCTTAATTTTAGGGTATAGCTGTCCGGTCAGGTGACATCGTTCGAGATATTTAATATATACATCCCCCAGTTACATGTTGCCTAACAGGATATCACCTGGACATAGGTACGCTTCTTCGTGGTCAAACGACCGTAGTGGGATGTAGCTGGCGGAACAGATTGACGATTCGACATTCTGCACAATGAATGACGAAGCCCCTACCAGAATTATAGGCACCTGTAATAGCTCGCCAAATATTACTATCTGCCTGGCGAACTATGTTAACTCTCGCATCAGACCATCTGCTCATAATTATCTCGATTGGGAAACCTCCCGCCTATATTTTGGTGAAGAACCGCACCTTTGTTAATTTTAACAAAGCTGACTGGGTCGGCTTAACTGAATTTACCGAGAGCACCTTCACCACACTACCTTTCCAACCATCAGAGGGAATTTCCATGACCTCGTACGCTGGTGACTGTATGATATTGACGTCGGGCAATGTAATCGATGCCATGTGCTCAAAAGTAAATGGCTATCTCTCCGACCTTTATCGCTTTTTCTCGGCAAGGAACCTGACACTCTCCCCCCACTAAATCCACAGCGACCATTTTTACACACTGGATCTAAACAACCCTAAAATTTTAGGTGTTACATTCGACAGCCTGTACTCCTTCACTCCTCACACAACCGCGATAACTGCCAAACTCCAGAGCCGCAACAAAATTCTCAAATGCTTGCCGGCAACTCTTGGGGAAAAGACAAAGAAAAGTTGCTGGCAACTTACAAGGCAATCGGCCGGCCGGTCTTAAACAACGCTGCACCAATATGGTCGTCTGGACATGTGAATCCCGTATGCTTCCGGTTAAGGAACATAACGAGCTCCTCTCCAAGCAGTTTCTGCTGGGATGTTTTCGTAGAACCTCCTACTAGAAACATCAGGAGGTCCTTCCTTGATTACGTCGACGACATTGGACAGTACGCCGACCAGACTTCGGACGCAACGAACTTTAGACATGCACTGACCGCCATTCACAGTGGAGCCATCAACACCTTCACCGACTCCCTCTCAGTGAATGGTGTGGAATTAAACCACCAGGTTAAACTTCAACTTCAGACTCCAGAATCGACTCCGACATAACAAATATGTCCTGCATGCAATGAGTCTCGGCATGATACTGGTGGTTAGTCTTTGCATGCCCAACAAACCCCACTCATCTAACATTCCCATCGGTGGCCATGCACAAGGCAGTTCGCTCAAATTGGGTAATTGCAAGGAGCAGACTACCTGAAAACTCGATTAAGTAGACTCTGTCTTTCTTCAGAAAGCACAAGACCCTGGGAGATCCACTTTCAAGCAGATCTGCAACAAGGAGGGCACCTAATACTGTCCCACCTTGTCAGGTTGATGAGAGGCAGCTTTGTGCTGGCGTACATTGCTGAATCATATATGATTCCACGAGTATAATGCCATCTGGGAATAGAAAGATTTTTGTGTACTCATTTATGATATCACCAAGTTTTCGTGTACATGATAGAGTGAGGGAAAGAAAAGTACCCTGAGGGATCCTTTTATATCCTAACATATACTTTTTAAAAATGTCTAAAAAGATTTTGTAAAACTTGATATTTAGAAAAACAAAAAATCCTGTAGACTTTACGTATGAATGTGAATCATAAAATAAATGTATTATTGAGGATCAAGATTGTTTGAGCTTCAGGCGGAAGGTGATCTAGGCATATAGTGTCATATATACCTCCCCTGTATATCTTGTAAGTGTTTTCATTAAAAGAGTTACGAGAAATCTTTTGTATGTATAACGTAATCCGATAAAGCTAAAATCGGGGCTATGGGTTTGAAGTTAAAACGGTGACTGTTAATTACCGATTTTTTAGAAATCGGTTCGATTTTGACGTGGTGTGGTTCATTAAGTACTCTTTGAAGGTATTCAATGTACAATCGTATAAATTTCAGCAGCTGAGTTTTAGGGTTTTATATGCAGAATATCAGTTATTTCTTTATATTCTGTTGTCACCTCAATAAAGAATAGGAATGATAATTGTGTTTGGGCATTTAGAATTACAACCAATTTAAATTGACATTCAGGAAATTATCTTTCATAGGTCGGCGGAATCTCTCATCGCTATCGGACAATTTAATTTTAATTTTAAATTTTACGTTAATTACTAGAAGGCGCTAAAGCTTCTATGAGTTTTTAAAAAGCGATTTGTCAAAACTATACAAAACTCTTGGTATGTGTGATCGCTCACCGTTCCCTATGCTTAGGGATAATAATACAATAATTCTTTCAGTGTAGTGGAGTCTGTATTCCTGGGTGGACTTTTATTTTAATACTCTTGCAAGATGTTGCTAAAGGGTATAATAGTTTTGTTCACCTAACGGTTGTTTGATCCATCTGTCGTTATTGTTAATAGGATTTTCTTTGGCGAAAGCTCTATGACTTTGTGAAGGGTTGTAAGGTAAAGTACGGCTTTTAGTGCCACTGTGGGGCATGTTTTCATGCAACCTCTTATACAGGCGTACGCTAGCCTTTGGAGTTTTGCCAGTGCAGTTTTGGCTGATTTTAGTTTCATTCTTTCCGACCAGATAATCGTTCCGTTGGTTTTACTGTCATTGTATACATCCAGTGCAGTATCTTGGTGATGCATCCCTATGTCTTTCTAGCTAATCTTCTGCATATAATGGGTGATCTTGACGCTTTACTGATCGATTGATCCATGTGCCTTTTTTACGTTACTCTAGCGCCAAATGTTAACCCAAAATTTCGAGAATGGGTTCTATTACGATAATACTTATTCGAATATATTTCATATTTATTTTATGTCTTTTAGTAAATGGCGTTATAGCAGTCTTTGAAGGATTGATACTGCCTACTACCATTATTACAATATCATCTGCATAACCTTGGCATCTTATGCCGTTAATTGTCAGAAGGTCTAGCAAATTGTTTACTGCTAGGCTCCATAGGAAAATAATAGTACTCCTCCTTGGCGGTATCATTTTGTGGTTCTTATTTGAATGGTTTCATTACCTACTACCGTTTCCGCTAACCTATTTTTAAGCATGTAGCTCATCCAATTTCTAACTTGTACTCTAACTCAAACTGGTTTTTCAACGCGTTTCATACATAAGGCTCAGTCGACAGCCTCATGGGAGGTATTGTCAAATGCTCCTTCAATATCTAAAGATGCTCATAAAGCTACTTCTTTGTTGTCTATTGTATTCCTTAAAATATCGGAAAGTTGAAATAAAGCTGGTTTTGTTGATCTGGCTTCTCTATATGCATGTTGTGCATGGTGCAGAGCTATATCTCTTAGAGTGGTGGTTCTTAAATGGTTGTCAATACTCTTTTCCATGGTCTTTAGGTTAATGGATGTTAAGCTTATTGGCCTGATGTACTTGGCTGTAGTGTAGTTCTTTTTGCCTGGGTTGGGGATGAACTTGACTAGGGCTCTTCATTATGCCAAAGGTATGTATCCTAAGGCCATGCTTTCTCTCATGATGTGCACTAGTACAGATATTAGTTGTTGTACTCCATTTTGTAGTAGTGCTGGCCTTATGCCACCAAAAATAGGTGAACGGTCTAATGTCTTTACACATGACAATTAATAGCCCTAAGAAGAAGTCTATAATTCTCTGATCTGACATTGATGTTCAGAAGAAACCATCCAATGAAATACCATGTTCTTAGACCAGGTTT